ATGATTAAAAGGCACTAGGGTAGTGACTTTCGCCTAGATGGTCAATTGACGGATTCTTGAGTCTAAAGCTAGATTGTCACATTTGGGGAGTATGATATAACCATTGCTCGATTCTACTCACTCTATACCTCTCGGTAGTTTGACTGATTTTTGCCCGAATTGACTTTCTCAAGACCAATTGGGTATGCAAATTTGCACAAGCAATTAAGGTTCAAGTCGGGTATTACTATCTCTAGGTTTAACACTTTAATTGGGGCTATCAATATCTTGAGTACGCCCCAATTCCTTGTTGGACTAATTTCAGAGACTTAGGCTCTCTTTCTCAAGAAGAGCCAAAGTCAACTAAACACAAACTAGTGTTTGCAACCGCTAATTCAGCAATTAAACTTGAAATTAGTCCAAATATCAAACACCCATAGTCAATCAAGCCCTAAAATACAAGACCCATCAATTACCCACACTAGGGTTGAGCCACAACCCTAGCTGATGGGTCTAGCTACTCATAATTAAAGAGAAAAACAAAGAAATAGATGAAGATAAACTCATAATAATTAATTACTAAATAGAACTTGAAGATTCAATGGTGAAATTAAGCTAAAATTACTCAAAATAGCAAAAGAAACGAAGTCACGAGCGCAGCTCTACGTACAAAACTATCTGATTACCTAAAAATGGGAAAAGAATCTATTTATACTAGGCTGAAAATCTCGGACAAAAATACCCCTGCGGGGCTAGTGCGGACCGCACAAAATCAAGTGCGGCCGCACTGAGGCTCTTGGCTTGAATATCCAGCTCTCTGAACTTGGGCAATGCGGACCGCACAAAGTCTAGTGCGGTCGCGGTGGCTTCTAGTGCAGTCCGCATGAAATGGAGTGCAGACCGCATTGGGCTTCAATCTTTAATCTGGCAACTCTCTGAACCTTGGCTCTGCGGACCGCACTAAATCGAGTGCGGCCGCAGTGACTCCAATGCGGACCACAGAAAATCCTGTGCGGCCGCATTGCCTTTTTGGCCTGAGAAGCACACTCTCTGAACTTCACTTGTGCGGACCGCACAGAATGGTGTGCGGCCGCACTGGCCCTGTTTGCTGAGCTTTGCCTTGTTTTGGTACTTGTGCAAGTTTCACTCCTTTTTGAGCTGGTATTTGACACCTTGTCACCTTGTTGATCAAACCTGCAATCAAGCACAACTTGTGAGCCTTTGGGACTATTTTGTACACATTTCTAATCAAAACCCAAGCATGAAGGAGTGTAAAATGCATCATAATTCCTAAATATCACAAGACTGGTGCACACAGTCAGAATTTGAGCTAAGGCCTCCTGAAGGCCTGGAATCACGACGGGCACAGCCGGTGCCTGAGCTGGCCCCACTAGCTCATCAACAACTGGAAGTTGCTCCTGAACTGGGGCAACTGGTGGATCTGCAGGTGCCGCCCTAGTTGTTGTACGAGCTGTACCTCTGCCCCTACTACGGCCTCTACCGCGACCTCGGCCTCTCGCGACCCTAACTGGTGGTACTGGTGGTTGTCCTTCCTGCCCGATAGTACGTGTCCTCACAATCTATGAGAGAATAGAATAATAGAAGTTCAGTTACCAGAATCAGTAGATTCGCACGACAAGAATTCAAGAATGTGAAGTTTCCTAAGGGTTTGGCAGCCTCTCGAAGATAAGACAGACGTCTCCGTACCGATCCGCAAGACTCTACTAAACCTGCCCATGACTCGTGAGACCTATGTAGCCTAAGCTCTGATACCAACTTGTCATGAACCAAATCCTAACTCGTCGTGATGGCGCCTATTATGGTACTAGGCAAGCCGACATTTCCAAAATACTTCCCACATTCAATAGAAAATGACTAAAGAAATTTTAAACAACCGGAGTTTTCATAAAAACGGGGCAAAAACCCAAACACAAGTGCAGAAATCCCAAATCAGGGTGTCACTGAGCTCATGAGCATCTATACAACACCAGTCTAGAAATGAAATGTCTACGAGAGTCTGTATCAAAACACAAATAAAGAAAAGATAGAGAAGGAGAAACAAGAACTGCGAACGCCGAGCAGCTACCTCGTAAATCTCCGAAGATCAACCATGCACGATATCAATGCCCACCATGTCCAGAAACACCTGGATCTGCACACGAAGTGCAGGGTGTAGCGTGAGTACAACCAACTCAGTAAGTAACAATAATAAATAAGGAACTGAAAGATAGTGACGAGATACACAGTTATAGTTCATTTTCAATAATGATGTATGGAGGCCATGTTTTCTAGAACAACGGAGGCTTATTAGGCTCATGAAGGTGCCAATGGATTTGGAGAATTGGGCCACGAATTTAAAATGCTTACACTAATTAGCCTTAGTCCAATTGAGGCCCAAGAATTTCAAGAAATTGAAGAAGTCCAAGAATCCATTCAAGATTAGGATTTCTTTTCCTTAAAGATAGGGATTTCTTATTTCTTGTTTCCTAGTAATTTAATCTTTGTTTTAGTAGGATTATATTTGTAGTTCTAGTCAAACTAGGATTGTTAGTTAGTATCCCATTCCTACTAGAATTCTTTTTTCTATTTTAGTTAGGATAGTTTTTCTTAGTCTTATTCTTATTCTAGTTTAATTAGTATTAGTTTTCCTTAACCTTACCAATTTTACTCATTGTAAGGCCTATTTAAAGGGCTTAATATGCTAAGAATAAACATTGGTGATTGTTTTTTCTAAGCTATTGCTTCAAAAACGTGATTTACTTTTTATTTCATTGTTCTTCCTTTATTCAACGCTTCTTGCAATCTTGCGGGATTGAAGAACGTGTGGGTGAGGTTTCTTTTCATCTTACATTCTTCTAACGTGAGTTTGAAGAATGCTTTCACTAGTTTTGCGAAAGACTTTAGCGGGGTGCTTTTGTTTTTCTCCCTTCTTTGTACTTGAGAGGTGCAAAACCTTGAAAGTACATCAATTTGGTATCAGAGCTCAAGTTCCAGGTCCGAATTTTTAAATTGTTATCTTGTTCATCATGTCTCTAGACAAGAAAATAACAAGCTCGGGATCTTCTTCACTTGATGAACAACTTGAGATAGAAAGATTAAGAACTACAGCCCTTGAACGAGACAACGAAGAAATTAAAGTGCAACTAGATGACTTAAGGAAATCAATGCAGAATCTGACTAGATTGGTTGAAGGTTTAATGATTCAAGATCAGCCACCAAATCTTCCACAACGCCTACAACCTCCACCGCCACCAAGACACAACATACCCGTGCTACCGCGACGTCTTCCCCTTCGAGATCCACCAATTCAACCGCGGAGAGCAGGACATATTGAACAAGCGGAATAAGTTATAGCTGACCAAGGCATGAAAATACCAAGGCAGCATGCTCACTATGCTAAAAACTCAGATTCGTAATATTCTGATATTCAAGGTAGTGAAGAGTATGACTATGATGAAGTTCAGTGTCAACATGATAGAAGGAGATTTCAGAGAAGGCCACACAATAATAATCGAGAGAGGTATCAACGTGATGATATTAAGCTTGAAATTCCGGAGTATGATGGCAAATCTCAAGGCGATGAATTTATTGATTGGCTTATCACTATTGAGCATGTTTTTGATTATAAAGAATATTCTGATGAGAAGAAGGTCAAGCTTGTTGCTATAAAACTTAGAGGTTATGCATCGCTATGGTAGGAAAACCTCAAAAAAGAGCGAGAGCTGGAAGGAAAAACACGAATTCGCACTTGGGAGAGAATGAAACGAGAATTGCGCAAACAGTTCTTGCAAGAGACATATGAAGAAGATTCTTACTTGAAGTTTCATTCTTTTAGACAAGGAACTTTATCCGTGGATGAGTACACAAGAGAATTTGAATTTCTTAGGCTCAAGAGTGACATTAAAGAAAAACCAGCCCGCCTAATTGCTCGATATTTGGCTGGATTAAATAAGCCTATTGCGAATACGATTCCAGCCCCATCAGACCTTTGGAGATGTTGTCAAACTAGCCAAGGTCGTAGAGACACAACAGAAGGAAGCCAAAGCCACGTTTTCATCAACTACCATAAAAAAGCCTAACACTTTCAACCATGGGAGTGCTAGTTTGAGCTCTACAAAGCCACAATCATCTACAACAAAACCAAGTGTCCAGAAAGTTGAAAGGAAGCCCATGACTTCAGAAGCTATTTTTAAAAAAAGATGCCATAAATGTGGAGGACTTGGGCATATACAAGCTGATTGTCCAAACAAAAAGGCATTCACCATCCTTGAAGGAGAGACTGATGAAGAAGATTATCATGAAGAGCCACATGATGAAAACTTGGAAGAAGTAGCTGAATATGGAGATGAGGGAGAATACCTTATAATCCAACGAGTTCTTCATTCAGATTCTAGCAAGGAAGAACCATGGTTGCGACACAATATTTTTCATACACGTTGCACATCTAAGGGAAAGGTTTGTACACTCATCATTGATCCAGAAAGTTGCACCAATGTAGTTTCTGAAGAAATGGTTACCAAATTGGGGTTTGAGACAGAGCCATTGCATAAGCCATACCGCATGAGGTGGCTGGATGAAGGAAGGAATGTACAGGTTAATAAACGGTGCCTTATTCCTTTCTCTATTGGCAAGAATTATCAAAATAAGGTCTGGTGTGATGTAATGCCTATGGATGCTTGCCACTTACTGCTTGGGAGACCATGGGAATATGACAGAAGGGCAATTCATGATGGCTTCAAGAACACTTGCTCTTTCGTCAAGGATGGAAAGAAGATCAAACTGCTCCCAATGAACCCTGAAGATTTAAAGAAGTCAAATCCTAAAATGAACGAGACATACATTACAAGAGCTAAGGTAGAAGAACACTTGAAGGAAAGAGAGGAAGTGCTTGTTGTAGAACCTAAGGAAGTGGAATCTATCACCAAGAAAGAGTCATTAGGAGTCAACGACCCACGACTCGAGCAATATTGGATGAGTTTCATGATGTTGTTTCTGATACTACACCTTCTTCCTTACCACCAATGAGGTCAATTCAACATCAAATTGATGTAGTTCCAGGCGCACCACTTTCTAATAAAGCAGCATATCGGATGAATCCAACGCGGCAAGAGGAACTTCAACGACAAGTCAAGGAACTACTAGATCGTGGACTAATAAGGGAAAGTTTAAGTCCTTGTGTTGTACCTGCCTTGCTCGTTCCTAAGAAAGATGGATCTTGGCGTATGTGTGTTGATAGTCGTGTTATTAACAAGATCACCGTCAAGTATAGATTTCCTATTCCTTGGCTTGATGATCTTTTGATCAATTACTTGGGGCCAAGATATTTTCTAAAATTGATTTGAAGAGTGGCTACCACCAAATTCGAATGAAAGAGGGTGATGAATGGAAGACTGCATTCAAGACTGGCAAGGGTTGTATCAATGGCTCGTTATGCCATTTGGGCTATCTAAAGCTCCTAGCACATTTATGAGGTTGATGACCCAAATTTTTCAGTCATACATGGGAAAATTTGTTGTTGTTTATTTCGATGATATACTTATTTATAGCAAGGATGATCAACAACATTTGAAGCACTTGAGGAAGATTTTTGAAGTTTTAAGAGAGCAAACACTTTATGCCAAATTAAAGAAGTGCAAGTTCTTTTCTGAGCAAGTCTCTTTTCTCAGTTATATTGTCTCTAGTGAGGGAATTCATGCCGACTCGGGAAAGATTGAAGTTATTGCTAGCTGGCCTATTCCAAAAAGTTTAACAGAGATTCGCAGCTTTCATGGTATGATTTCTTTCTATCGGCATTTTATAAAGAATTTTAGCTCTCTTGTTGCTCCTATTACCGAGTGTTTGAAGGGAAACTTGTTTAAATAGACGGATGCTGCGCAAAAGAGTTTTGAATTGATTAAGACAAAGATGACTCAAGCACCTATGCTTGCTTTGCCCAACTTTGATGTAATCTTTGAAGTTGAATGTGATGCTTTCGGAGTTGGGATTGGAGCTGTTCTTGGTCAAGAAGGTAGACCTATTGCTTATTTTAGTGAGAAGCTGAATGATGCCAAGTTAAAGTATTCTACTTATGACAAGGAGTTCTACGCTGATACAAGCTGGATGAGCACACTTAATGAGGATGATTTCCTAGTCAACATCATAGCATTGGAGTGCTTTATCTGATCATGAGGCCTTGAAGTATGTGAATAGCCAACAGAAACTCAACATTAGGCATGCTAAGTGGGTAGAATTTTTGCAAGCATTTCACTTTTTTATTAAACACAAGGCTGGGAAGGTCAATCAAGTAGCTGATGCATTAAGTCGCAAGCCGTGCTTTGTTTCTGCCATGCAAAACACTATTGCGGGTTTCGAACACATAAAGGAATTATATGCAACAGATCCAAACTTTGGAGCTATTTGGGGTCAATGCTGGGAGGGTCCTCAGCGTATGTTTGTGCTTAGGGATGGCTATCTTTATCATGGTAAGCAGCTTTGTGTTCCACAAGGAAGTTTGCGTGAATTTATAATCCGTGAGTCCCATGAGGGGTGGTTAGCTGGCCACTTTGGGCAAACAAAGACTCTACACCTAGTTCAAGAAAACTTCTATTGGCCTAAGATGGTTCGGGATGTCAATAAGCTGGTTGTAAGATATGAAACTTGTATAAAGGCAAAAATACACAAAAGCAATTCAGGTCTTTACACTCCTCCGCCAATTCCTACTCAACCTTGGGAAGACATTAGCATGGATTTTGTGTTGGGCCTTCCAAGGACTCAAAGAGGTAAGGATTCCATCTTCGTGGTTGTCGATCGATTTTCGAAGATGGCTTACTTTATTCCTTGCGATAAGACTTCGGATGTAACAAATATTGCTGATCTCTTCTTTGATCATATTGTGAAATTGCATGGAATTCCCAGAACTATTGTTTCAGATAGGGATTCGAGGTTCCTAGGCCATTTTTGGAGGACTTTATGGGCTAAACTTGGTACTAAGCTAACACCTAGCACTTCTCATCATCCCCAAACTGATGGGCAAACCGAAGTTTTCAATCGAAGTTTAGGTGCTTTGCTTCGTGGGTTAATAAAGAAGAATCTCAAAGAGTGGGAATCGTTACTTCTTACTGCTGAGTTTGCCTTCAACAAGTCAACCAACCGCACTACGGGAAGGAGTCCATTCGAAGTTGTTTATGGTAAGAATCCTCTTGGACCGCTTGATCTTTCCCCTCTTCTAGTTACTCATTCTTTCAATGGAGATGCTGCTGATCGAGTGAAGCAACTTAAGAAACTACATGAGAAAGTTAAGACACATATCGAGAAGCAAAATGCTAAATATAAAGAAAGGGCTGATACACGTAGGAAACATGTGGTGTTCAAGAAAGGCGACCTAGTTTGGGTTCATTTGAGCAAGGAGAGATTTCCCAACCGCAAGTTTTCGAAAATACAGAAGCGAGCAGATGGACCTTTTAAGGTACTGCAAAAGATTGGTGATAATGCTTATCGCTTGGAGCTTCCCAATGACTTTGAAATATCACCTATCTTCAATGTAGCAGATCTTGCTCCCTACTATTCTGATGACTAGAGGGCGAGTCCTTTTCAACGAGGGGAGAATGATGAACATATGGAGGCCATGTTTTCTAGAAGGCTTATTGGGCTCATGAAGGTGCCAATGGATTTGGAGAATTGGGCCACGAATTTAAAATGCTTACACTAATTAGCCTTAGTCCAATTGAGGCCCAAGAATTTCAAGAAATTGAAGAAGTCCAAGAATCCATTCAAGATTGGGATTTCTTTTCCTTAAAGATAGGGATTTCTTATTTCTTGTTTCCTAGTAATTTAATCTTTGTTTTAGTAGGATTATATTTGTAGTTCTAGTCAAACTAGGATTATTAGTTGGTATCCCATTCCTACTAGAATTCTTTTTCCTATTTTAGTTAGGATAGGTTTTCTTAGTCTTATTCTTATTCTAGTTTAGTTAGGATTAGTTTTCCTTAACCTTACCAATTTTACTCATTGTAAGGCCTATTTAAAGGGCTTAATATGCTGAGAATAAACATTGGTGATTGGTTTTCTAAGCTATTGCTTCAAAAACGTGATTTACTTTTTATTTCATTGTTCTTCCTTTATTCAACGCTTCTTGCAATCTTGCTGGATTGAAGAACGTGTTGGTGAGGTTTCTTTTCATCTTACATTCTTCTAACGTGAGTTTGAAGAACGCTTTCGCTAGTTTTATGAAAGACTTTAGCGGGGTGCTTTTGTTTTTCTCCCTTCTTTGTACTTGAGAGGTGCAAAACCTTGAAAGTACATCAAATAATCTCAACAAGAAGGTATACATGGTTTCAAATCTGACAATTTAAGTCAAATCAGTTTCTACATGCCAAGTTCAAGTAAAAACCGGATATAATATCTCCCCAAAAGTTTCAAAACAATGACATAAAGCAACTATGTGCAACAATAATGAAAGCAAATACAGCCTCTCAGGGCAACAGTCCTCAATCTTTCTCAATAGCTCCACACTCGGCTCTTAGCCCTCAACACTCACACTCAATATGTACGTGCGCTCACTAGGGGTGTACAGACTCCAGAGGGGCTCCTTCAGCCCAAGCGCTCTATATATATANTATATATATATATATATATATATATATATATATATATATATATATATATATATATATATATATATATATATATATATATATATATAGCCATAAGGCTCGTTGCGGCGTGCAACCCGATCCATATATAAATATAGCCATAAGGCTCGTTGCGGCGTGCAACCCGATCCATAAATATACATATAGCTCACAGCTCAGCACTCAAGCCCTAACTCTGTCACCAAACTCTCCAGTCTCTCGGGCTCTCAGAACATAAAGAATCAGCCTAAACAGAGATAATATAATGTATCAACAAGAAACAAGAAGAGACTGAGATATGATACGCAAGTAAAACTGGGACTGAGAGCAAGACAATAATTAGCAAATAATTCAACAAGTACACGACCTCTGCAGGTCCCAACAGTGTCATCACATAGCCTAAGCATGATTTCTAACATGGTTTGCAGTCAAATTTTCATAACATAGGGAAAGCTTATAGCTAACAACAAGTTGTAAGCACGTGATTTTTGCCCTATATGAATTCCTCCTACAGAATCCCAAGAAAATAGATTTTCTTAATTATTTGCCATTTTTAGGAATTTTCGTAGAATTTTATTTAATTGTTTGCATTTTTGTGCATGTTTAAGTTTTATTTAAATCATGAAAAAATACCAAAATATCATGAATTTCATTTAGGATTTGTTTTTACATTTTTAGAATTAATCAATAATTATTTGCTTTATAAAAGTTCGAAAATCACAAAAAAATACTTCATTTTTATACTTTTTCTTTTTATTGATTTTTTCTCTTTTAATTTAGGATTAAGTAGCTTTTATAGTTTTTGTAATTAGTTAATTAGTCTAATTTCACATTTTTAGATAACCTAGGATTTTAATTTTAAGATTTTTAATTAAAGAAAAGAAAAAGAAAAAATAAGAAAAAGAATTTGAAGAAAAGATTTAATTGGATATTGAGTTAGTTCTTGTACCCAAATTAGGCACCAAATTTTCCTACCTAGCCCAAATTCACCTAAAACACCAAAAAAACGCCTGAAAACCCTGTTGTAATCCGCCGTTCCATCTTCTAGACTACAAAAATCCTAAAACTTCATCACCAAGAAAAAACGAAACGGAGAACACAAAAAGAAAAGGACGTCAGTCCTTTGAATTCAAAAAGAAAAGGAAAAAAGCACACACACACACAAGGACAAAAGGGACCCCCTGTTCTTGAGGCTAGAGGACCTTTCTTCTACAGAGACGACAAAGAACAAAATCCTAGAGTTTCTTCCAAATACCAAATACGCCTCTTTTGATTTTCTTCTAATTCTGTGTTCGATCACGTCGTCGATCACTCTTAGTAATAAATTGAGTCCGTTTGCCTGGGTTCACGGTTCCGTCGAGTTGTGTGAAGTCACCGGTGTTTAATGAGTTTTCTGACCCGGCTTCGAGTTTTCCGGCCTCCGGCGAGTGGGTTTTGTTAGAGTTCCCGCCAAGCGTTCTGTTTGCCTTCAAATTTGGTTGAAGCTTTCCATTGTAATCCTAGTTTAAAGATTCAGTATCAACAGGAAAAGAAATTTCTCCATTAAGGTTTACTCTTTGCACTTATATTATCTCAATTTGATTTTGCTAGCATGGTGAATGATATTGGCTATTGTTTCTCTTCGTTGTTATGTTATCCTTATTCTGTCTTAGTTCATTTGTTTGTTTCCTGAAGATACGTACTTGTTGTTTGAAATTTTTGGATGAATTCACGCTAAAATCTTTTGCTGCTTTGAATTATCTCATGTGCTTCATACAATTGTTATTGCCCTATTTGTTTTATTTTATATATTTAAAATGTGGCAGCAAGTTTTATTAAGTTAATTGTATCTTGGGAGATGGTTGATATATGTGGATTGGTTTGAAGCTGTTAAGACTCGAGAAGAATTAGGCTTGAATCCAAATTTGGACCTACTTATTTAATTACATAGGCAGAAATATAGTTAATTATTAACAAGAGACCTGGGCTACGGTATTAATAATAAATTATTGTGGCCAGGGTACGGTTCCCGTGGCATGGTCACGATACGTGAATCTCAATTCGGGGGTACATTTCATGTAATCCGATTATCACAACTTTGAATAATAAAGCCCTTTGGAATAAATAGAGGTGTGCCGTGCCGAACAAAACCTCAAAATGCATGGCCCTCGCTTAATTAATATTTTACTCCTTAGAAATCGAGGCGTGCCATTTAGTTAGAATTTTCCATGCCCCTCGCAAAGTTAACAACGCGTAGTTGCTTTTGGCGCGTTA